AAAAGCGTCAGCTAAATGACTAAATGTAAATGTAAATGTAAATAACTTGTCTTATTACCCTAACCTGCCTAGTTAACCTACTTAGCCTAGTTAAGCCTTTAAATGTCACTTTAAGCTGTTTAGAAGTGTCTTGAAAAATCCGGTGTCCTGCTGAGTTTATCTCTAACTTGCTTCAAAACACCTGCCAGGAAGTTTCTAGTATATCTAGTAAAAGCTTGATTAGCTGGTTTACGTGTGCTTGATTAGGGTTGGAGCTAAACACTCCAGGACACCGACCCTGCAGGACTGAGTTTGAACACCCTTGACTTAAGCACATACAATGAAATAAAAAACATACCAACAAATCGTTACCTTAGAATGATAAGGTCAATCTGCGTTCTGAATGATTTTGAGATACTGAGCTTCAAAGTTTTGACTTTACATACAGTAAACAATATGTGTATAGCACTTCTGTTTTATACATTAACATGACAGAGACCCTAATACTCTAAATGTAAATAATCAAAATTCTCTTAAATGTGCAAACTGGGGTAAAAAACTATTTAAATATAATAGCAACTTGCAAAAATATTCTTAACTTGTTACATACAGTTTAAGTCAGAATTATTAGCCCACTGAATTATTAGCCACCTTGTTTATTTTTTCCCCCAGTTTCTGTTTAACGGAGAGAATATTTTTCAACACATTTCTAAACATAATAGTTTTAATAACTTATTTATAATTACCGATTTATTTTATCTTTGCCATGATGACAGTCAATAATATTTTACTAGATATTTTGCAGGACACTTCTATACAGCTTAACGTGGCATTTAAAGGCTTAACTAGGTTAATTAGGTTAACTAGGCAGGTTAGAGTAATTAGGCAAGTTATTGTATAATGATGGTTTGTTCTGTAGACTATCGAAAAAATAGCTTAAAGGGGCTAAAGATTTTGTCCTTAAAATGTTTTTTTTTAATTTTTTTTTATTAAAAACTGCTTTTATTCTAGCCTAAATAAAGCAAATAAGACTTTTCCAGAAGAAAAAAATATTATCACACTGTGAAAATTTCTTTGCTAAACATAATTTGGAAAATATTTTAAAGAAAAATTCAAAGGGAGCTAATAATTCTGACTTCAACTGTATGCATTAGCTCAGTACTATGGTTTTTAAATGTTGTGTTAGCTGTTTGTCTTTTCTGTTGGTTCTGGTTATGTTTGGTTTCAAAATTATCTGCTGTCAACTGCAAATTTAGAACTATCGAATGTTCATCTGCTGGTTTTGACAAATGTTTTAACAAATATGGCAGAAACAGCTGCTAATTAGGTATCTGTGTAAATCTGTCTTAAATTGCTCAAATGTAAGCAACTATGATAGTTGTGCTAGACATGCTACAAATTCTTTAAAATGCTTCAAACTTTTAAGAACTTTTTCAAGCTATTTCAAACATTCAGATTAAAATGTATTTTAGAAAAGAAGACAATATCTCCAAGGCTTTCTTAAGGCTGTCTTCACAATTTGATCTACTTTTAACTTCTGGTTAAGAGTAGGTACAGTGCTCAGCATGATTGAGGAAATCCCATTTTGAAAATGAACATTTTAATTCATTTCTCAGTGATTATAGGCAATGCATTTTGGAGCATTTATACAAAACAGATTTATTAAACACATAATTATTAAAATAATATTTAGTCATCGAACGTGTTTGGAAATTTAAAAATAATACAATTAAATCAAGCAAAATATTGCAAAATATATAAATATATATATTACAACCTACAAAATTTTAACATGATTTTTTTTTTTTTTTTTTTTGCTTCTCTTGATTTTTCCTCTTTTTAAATTTGTATGTAATATTTTTCTATAACATATAAATGTGGGTGTACTTGTTTTTGGACCGTTATCGTGACTTATTTTGTTAGATAAGCTCCAGATTTGGCTTCAGTACTGACTAATCTAATGTATATGCACAAACATAATATTGTAGAGCTTCTTATTAACAATATGAGTTTAAAAGAGAGATTTGTGAGGGGTGCACTTATATATGCTGAGCCCTGTATGTGCACATCATACCTTGTCAAAAATGCTGCTGATTTAGCTTAGCTTACATTAAACGTGAAATATACCTGTAACGTTTTTTTCCTTTTATATAAGTAACAAAATGCTGCCTTTTGTTTATAAAAGACTGATGGCTGTTAAATATTCACAGACTATGAACTTGCTTTCGAAGCACTGAAGGGATCTGGACAACTGCCTTCTATCATTGCTCAGATAGAAAAAGGTAGAGCATTTTATTGTACATCACCTAGGTATAGTGCATTATTTTATAAAAACTTGGGGTCAATTTCTTTGTTGTTGTAGTCTTGTGTTGAACGACTAATTATTGCAGCGTTGGTGAGAATGAATTTGTTATTTCCTTTTTCAGATTTAGAGAAGCAGGAACAGGATTTACAGATGAAAAAAGCAGCACTGTGTGATGCCAAAGCTGCACTGGCTGATTAATATATTACTGTATAATAGTGTTGTTATCATGCAGTTATTATTGTTAAAAGGAACAAAACTTCCTTTCTGTTTATAATTCAAAAAACATGATCAAGCAGTCTTTTATAAATGAGTGATGCACGAAATGTTTACAAAAATGTTAGGTTTAAGTTTTCGATAGTTTTAGATCAGTGACAACAATATCCTGAAATGTACCACTGTATTTTGATATCCGTTCTATTTTCTAAATAAACTGAAAATTGCGGACAGTAAGAAACTTATTGATTCGGTTGAGTCTTCCCTTACAAGAAAAATCCTTTTGGAATCCTGTAGAAAACAAATCCCACACACCAAATATCTTCTCATTCCTAAAGGATCCATCAGGATTTAGTGATCATTTTTCTGTAGGACTCCTGCCTAAATATCGCCCTATCCCAACATACGATACATAAATGGAAAGATTGTTTGCTCAACTTTGATTTATAAATATAATATGTATAAATCTGAATTGGTTTTTTGGTTCAGGGTCACAAATAAAAGTGTCAGATTGCTATGCAAACACATATACTTAAAACATTTAACATTATACAAAAAGTTCCTCTTTTGTGTCTTGTGATGCTTTGTTGGCATTTCCAATATTTCCAAAAGGGCTAATATACTCCTTTCAAAAACAGCCACGGCTAACTCTTTAATTATGGCAGACTATGTACCACTCTACACCATGCTTGCAATGTATCTGTTTATTTCTTGTGGATTTCCACATGTGAGATACACTTAATACATTGAATTGGCCATATTGTCAGCTTATAAGGTTCTATCTGCGTTCTGAATGATTTTGAAATTTTAAGCTTTAAAATTTTTGTATTGCAGAGCTAAACAGTATGTGAGTAATTTTTTTTTAATAAAAGGTCTTAAAGTGTAAACAACTTATAAAAAAGCATCCCATAATGTAAATAAGTTGTCATTTAATAAGAATATATCAATATCTCAATTTTGTCAAAAATGTCAGACCCTTATAATGCTAAGGTGACGATATGTATTTTTTAACAAATTCCACTTTAAAAGTGGGAAAAAAGTGTCATCTTAAAACAAGTCCTTTGTGACTTTTAAATAGGAGTGTGAAATTTTCAAGAAATGTTGATAACTGTCCTCAAAACGTGAGGAATCAAGACTCACGTCACGTTTTCTCGTCTGTGAGCAGGGACATCAGCCAGTCAGCATGTGTGTGTGTGTGCGTGTGCGTGTGCGTGTGCGTGTGTGTGTGTGTGTGTGTGTGTGTGTGTGTCTTCTAAAGCCACACTAATAGTTCGTTTGACCATTCGAATGATTTTGTGTTTTATAAAACAAAAGCTATTGAGGCCTCATGTCAAACACAAAATCATTTGATAAAACAAATGCTATTGAGGCCTCATGTCAAACACAAAATCATTTGAATGGTCAAACGAACTATTAGTGTGGCTTTAGAAGACGAAAAGCATTCCATTTTCAAATATCTATTCAGACACTAGGTGGCGGAAGATGCCAACTTCAGAAGATCACTAAGTAACACGAGCACGTACTTATCCCTCACCTTTTCCCACTGTGAAAAAAAAAAAAAAACTTTTCCCACTGTGTTCCCACAAATTAAAGGGAACGGGGATTTTCTAACAGCTGTCATTCTTATTTTATCTACATTTTGAGCGGTTTTGTAAAATGGGTTTGAACAGTTTTAGATGATTGATAAATGTTTGATAAAAACTGTAAAAAGCAAACTGATGTAACAAGAGTCGAACACCCTAACAGACAACAACAACTGACTAGTACGTTTATAGTGTTAGGATTAAACTTTAATTTAAATGTGCACTTTCTAGAAAGCTGGGTTTACTAAAAAGAGAAGCTTAAACTATGGTCAAACCCAGCCATTAGCTGAAATAAAATAAACAAATTATCCAAGCAATGGGTTAGTCCATATTTTGACTAAATTCGGTTTGTAACACCTCGTTTCTGTAGTGTTATTAACGTCCTCTCCGCGTGTATAATGTAAGCTAATGTGTTAGTAGTTATAGTGCCACTGCCAACCATAATAAAAACCGCCTCGACCTCAGTTAATTTAAGAAAAATAAACCATAAAATAAATAAAAAATAAAGGTTGTTAGTAAATTACAAAGGAACTTGATTGTGCTTAGAATTTTATGCTAGAGTAGTTTTTATAGAGAAAGTGCTTGTACGGGTGGTTTTGGTTTTATTTACAGGGTTTCAGGTGTTCTCAAAAGAGATGTTTTTTTAGTTGTCTTGAACCTGTAGTCCGATTGGGAAGATTATTCCACCAGCGTGGAGCATTGAATGAAAAGGTTTTGGAAAGTTACATTGCCTCTTCTATTTTTTTCCCGCAGATGCTGTGGTTAAACTATGATTAGTATACTATAAAACGTTTAACTTCAAACAAATACAATTATTTAACAATTAAAATCGCTTTTTATTTTATTTGTAATAAACCTTTGTAGGGCAACCCAATTGATAGGCAACTTAAAGAGTTAAAAAGGAAACTACTAGGGACACATTTTGAATTTTAGCGAAATATAGCACTTTATTTTTGTACAGACTGGTGTGTAAATGTTCACAATACTCCTACCATTTGATTTGGCAAGTCATCATTTCATACTACGATTATTTGAAAGACAGAATACTTCAGATTTTAAATACAGCACTTGTGGAATGTACTATAAGACACAGTATACAGAGAGAATTCAGGCTTTCTCGGCAACACCCCCCCAAAAAAAGTCTTACAGGACACATTTTTTCAAGCATCTTTGAAAAACACATAGCCATTGGATAACCACATGACCTTTTTACACTTAGACTTCAGAACTAGTTGTGGATTTAATTACTACTAAAATTGAAAAACGATTAAGAATGGTTTAGTGTTCGGACTATATAACATTACAGCAGACGCCAAGCAAATTGGGTTGAGATTTGTCATGAATGTTGCTTTGAAGATATGAATAATCAGTGGAGAAAAACCAACTGAATGCAAATAATGGAATGTTATGTTGAACATTTTTCATTAGTCTAAAATGTGCAACAATGTGATACAAGCTATTTATAGTATAAACAGAGTCGATGTTAAAACATTCATGCATGTCTGAAATATATTCAAGGCTATTTTGCAGTCGCCCATTTTATGTGCAATAGAGATCACAGAGGACATCAAATAGACTGCAGATGACCCACATGCTAAATGACTGAAAAAATAAATGACATTTTCAAAAGGTTTGGATTGATTCTCAGTCACTCACAGCTAGTGCAAATACAATTGGTTCATTCAAGAGAGCTGATATTGGTGTAGATATAGAAAGTCAACAAAACAAATCATCAATCATTTCAAATAAACAAAAAGAAGAACACAAAGCTCATCACTGTACATCTTCATTAAATAATAGCTCAGTTTGTCAATATAACCCATTACAGAAAGTAGATATCACCATCAAGTGTCTTCAGTGCTTAAGTAAAGTGTTATCTGGGTTGTATATTCCCTCTCTGGTGTGTGTACGTGTGTGTGTGTGTGTGTGTATATATACACATGTACACATACAGCAGAAATAAAGCCTGGTTTGTTTTCCAAATGGACTAGAGCAGCAGTAGTAACAGCATAGGCAGAAGCAACATTGAAACAGAAGAGACACACACTTCTTTAGCTCCAACACTGTGTGTGTTTCTGCACATGTAGCAGACGATTTAAAAGATCTGCTGTTCAAACAGGATCTTCTCAAAGCCTTCAGGTGGAGTGTGGTAGAAATCGCTGAACTGGCAGTCTATGATGGCACTGTCATCCACTAAGAGACGCAAACAGGAGATAACAATATATTAGTTCATCATGTGAATGGCACAAACTTTACGTTTCATGACAGTTCGCATCTGCAAAAAGTTCAGATATCAGGAAAAGCTCTCAGTTTTTGAAAAATGTGTACTCAAATCTAAAAAAAACATATCTCAAAAATTCCCATTTACATTTAAAAATCATTATTAATGAATTGTCATTTTAGTGTTTCCATGAGCGAAAGCAAGTCCAGTGTGCAATTTTTATTTATTTATTTTTTTTCCTTAGGAACATGTATATTTTTTTTATGTAATAAAATCACTTTTTATGGATGGAACTTGCAAAACACAAGCAGAACAAACACATCTGTCTGTATTTTTAAAGATGGAAATCTTTCACAATTCTGTATATTTGTAAATCTTTCATCATGCTGTTCTGAGTTTCATAAAAATGACTTTTGACCACAGAAACAGTCATTCATTAACAGTTTTCATTAATGCCTACTTGGTTAGGATGTGATAATATTTGGTGAAGATATAAATGTTTGAAAATCTAAAATATGGGGGTTTATAAAAAAAAAAAAGTCACCTTGGACACAAGTTGAGTTAAGTAATGCACGTTACTAAAAAATAGTTTCGATAAATTCACAATAGGACATATGCAAAATATCTTCATCATACATTATTCTACCTTAAAATAAATATCAATAATTTTAACCCAAATCATTTAATTTTGACTATTGCCAAAAATATACTCATGAAACTGGTCACAAATGTGTTTGTATTTCCCAAATGTTAACTGATATGAAAGAAACACACCTGCTCCCTGCACTTCAATTTAGATTCACTGCCAATGTTTTACATGTTTACTTGCTCTGTATTTATTTATTTATTTGTAGCATGACAGATAATTAATTTAAAATAAGGTAAAACACTGTAAAAATGCTGGGTTCCACGCAATTACTTTGTATTGTCCCAACATAAATTGGTTAAATTAACTTGTTTTCACAAATTTAAGTGCACTGAATATAAAACTATTAAATTGTCCCCCAAAAACTCAGAAATGGTGTAGATTCAGCTCATTTTAAATATTAAAGTAGTTTGAACAAACAGAAAACATTTTTTTGAGTGAAGATAATGCCTCTTTTTCCCAGCGGTCCATTTACTGAAGAAGGGTAACACAAATACACCAATCAGCCATTCTACTCAATATGTGCACGACTGAACAAATAAGTTAATATAAGTTACTGCTGCATTTTTATTTTCAGTAATATTCTTTTAAATAAGATGCTACTAATAATGTCACTGCTGTGGATTCCAAATCAAGGCAACTACTGTCTCAAACTCTGCAATAGTGTTAAATAAAAAATACAGAATGAGTAGTAACTACAAATGAGTAGTATCTACTTGCCGGCAGGTAGCTCTCTGCAACTCTCACAAGGTCTTCACATGGGAAAGCTAGGTTACTGCCGAAGTGGAGTTAGAGAGACCGGCAGGGGGGCGCTCAATGCTGTGTGGATCCTAACACCACAGTATATTGATGGGGACTCTATAATGCTAAGTGAGCACCGTATTTCGGATGAGATGATAGAACGAGGTCCTGACTGTGGTTGTTAATAATCCCAAGATGTTCTTCGAAAAAGAGTAGGGGTTTAACACTGGCCACTGTCTATCATGGCCTCCTTACTATCCCCATATCATAATTGGCTTCATCTTCTCCTCTCCACCAATCAGCTGCTGTCATGTCATCCAGGTGGATGCTGCACACTGGTTGTGGATGAGACCCCCCCTCCCCCTCCCTAAAAATGTGTAAAGCGCTTTGACTGTAAAGAAAAGCGCTATATAAAATGTAAGGACTTAATATTATTATTACTTCATCAGCCTGGATGTGAAAAGCTTTGGCTTAACTATCTGTAAATTCCTGTAAATCTGTAAAGCCTTATAAGTGTAAGTGGGTTTGAGAAACCACCGGTAGAAACACAGTTTACTTTTCACTCTTTATAAATAAAAAAAAACACTCCCCCTTACTCTGGCAGCTAATTCTCTAAACCATGTCTCGAACTGGACTACTGGAGGGCCGCAGCTTATTATTATTTTATTTATTTGGATCAGCTGTGTTTAATTAGGGCTGGAGCAAAACTGTGCAGAGCTGCGGCCCTCCAGGAATAAAAGTTCCTTTGTATGATTAGCACTTCCTGCGTGTATTGCCACTTCATTTTGAATTGCTGACTGCCTTTTCAATTGTAAGTCACTTTGGACAAAAGCATCTGCTAAATGACTAAATGTACTTTATTCTTGCTGATCAATAGCAACACTCCAAGGTATGTTATTCCCAGATAACAACTGCTGAATCTGATAACACAAAGTTGACCAGTGAAAATGACTAAATATGATATACATTAACCTATATATTATTCAGACACAAGATGCTGAAAAACAGTCCAAAATATTAACCTATTTACGGTCAATCAAGATGACTGAAAGTATTTATTTGTAAGTCGCTTTGGATAAAAGCGTCTGCTAAATGACTAAATGTAAATGTAAATGAGCCTGTGTTGTTAGTTTTAGTGTTTTTTTATCTTGAAATGACATGCCTTGGAATGTTGCGACAGACCAATTAGAATCAAGTATTTCAGACATCCATAGCATAAGTAAACCAAACATGAGTTTATTTTACAAAAAAAGAAAAAAAAAAGTAAGATGCATAATATTTAATAATAGTTCTGTAGTTAATATAGTACACTGCATCGCTGAATAAAGATTAACAATAAAGTGCTCACCATAAACTATGGGGTATACAGTTCCCCGAATACCTGAGGCCGGACAGTGCATGTTCTTCCCATTTAAGGACAGATTCAGTTCCACATGATCATAGGTCAGGCCCTAAAAACAGACACACACACATGTATGACCATAAGCAAGAAGTCTTGTGCATTTAATACTAGCTGTGTTCCACTGTTTGACAATAGATGGCCCTGCTCTCTCTGTGTATCACCACAAACAGAGAAGTAAAAGCATACCACTATATCCCCCTCCTGAGGCAGGCTGTTGGCCGGTAATCTGTTCTTCTCCTCATTGTTGTGGTAGATGGAGCCATCATGTCTGAGAACCAAACTGTGGCTGTCTTGACCCAGTGGAACCTGGTTCAAATTCACCTTCTGCGTGGCCACACCAAACCCCCAAACACCTGTAGAACAAACATCAGCACACCTTCATGAGGTCAAAGTCTGAACATCAAAGTTTTTCCTGAACATCATATTTCCTCCATTTTTGTTTTAGCTGGAAATAAATGCAATTAAAACTGTACAAATGTAAAAAATGTAATTGTAAAATGGTTGTATAATAATATTAATAACAATACATTTTATTTGTAATTCGCTTTTCTCTGACTCAAGGCGCTACAAGTAAAAAACAATAAAACAACAATAACAAAAATACACTGAATAAGTTGACAAAGTTGATCATCATAGATTATAAGCAATGCTAAACAAATGAGCCTCAAGAAGTTTCTTAAAACGGTCCAGAGAAGCAGCATTTCTGATGCTTATGGCCAATGCATTCCATAGCTTAGGCGCAGAGTATGAGAAAGCCTGACGCCCCATGGTCTTAAATTAACACCGTGGCTGATACAGGGTGAGTCCTGATGTATAATGAAGATGGCGAGCAGAAATGGAAAGAGTCGCCAGGTCACAAATATAATCAGGTGCTAACCTGTGCAGTGCTTTGTAGGTTAAAATCAAAGTCTGAAAATCAATGTGACTTAACAAAGAGTCCATGAAGTTGCTGAAGCACAGGAGTAATTTGATGGCACGAAGATGTATGCGTGTATGTGTGTGTGTGTGTGTGTGTGTGTGTGTGTGTGTGTGTAAACCTGTGCAGCAGAATTTTAAGTATACTGTAATCTTTTGAGAAATTGCAGGTAAACCCCCGAAAAGTGAGAATCTTTTTCTAAGATCTAAGGTCTAATGTGAAAATTAAAAAAATTGATTGATTGAAATTAATTGCACAAGGTTTTAGACTAAAATTAAATGTAACCAGTAATACTAGGACTACAAAATGAAACAAAAACTAAATGCAATTCAGAAAAATGTAAATGTTCAGTAAAAATTATTTGATGCAACAATAAACTAATTTTCTTCACACATTGAAGATTAAATACATGATTAAAACACTGATCTAATAAGCAGGTGACATATAAAGTAGGGCTGGCCAATTTGGCCCAAAATTTAAATCTTGATTAACTAAACATTTTGACTCTGTTAATGAATGATTATATATTAATTTTATTTTTTGTTTTGCCCTCATATTTCACTGATAAGTTTTGTACAGTAAATATGCTCACATCACATATTACTAGTAAGAGATAGTTAAATGATGGGTGCATTATTGATTTTAAAATACCCTAAAACATACCCTATCTACTACTTACAATTATTTATTGAACATCAACGTTGAACAACTGAAATTAAAACACACATTACTCACAACCTTTTTTACATTAACCAAAAAACTTTTTTCTTATTAAAAAGTAAAAATAAATTTGCGCTTTTGGAAACAAAATTAATTGGTTTAATTATTTTTCATATTAAAAGTAAAAAATATGTAGTATCTAAATCAAAATAACTAAATTAATAGTTTCTTAATCAAATAACTTGCAATTCCTGTACATAATATTTTATACTGTGCATTTCTAACATCTTTAAACAAATATTTTAATGTAAATAATAACTTTAATGTAATGGACAATATGCCGTCTCAAGGCATCTCTGGCGCAGCTTCCGATCATCATCAAAATCATATACATATATATATATATATATATATATATATATATATATATATATATATATATATATATATATGAGCAATATCACACTCGTAGCAGTGCGATATGGCTGTATATCAGCACTGGTGGGAGCCGTGCGTGCCTTAGTGCCCCCACCAGTGCCGATATACAGCCATATCGCACTGCTACGAGTGTGATATTGTGTTTATAAAACAGTTTGACGGCATAATAGTGTATATAAAAACTAAATTAAACATGGAGAGTCTCAAAAACCCTTTTTTATGAGGAACTACTTTCTTCCGCCTTTGATTCAAATCATAAGCTGACAGTTAAACAGCTGAGCAAGCATCTTTTAAACTTTAGATCTGTAGTGTCTGCTTTTTGCTGGTTGTATGTGGAGGGAGTAATACACAAAGGGTAAAGGAGCTTTACGGGTGCTGATATTACTTAAATATATCACGGCTATCAGCCAATCAGATTCAAGAACCAGACAGAACTGTTGTATAAATATAAACACAGACACACACACAACACTAAAACAGTTAAATGTTGCAATATTAAAATAGTTTAAATTTGTTTACTCATGCAAAAGCAGTGTTTACATTTTATAGCTAAAATTAATTAACTTACTAACGATCAAAGAGAGAACTGGAGGGGTCAGATATAATTTATTTTGACTTTGACCGTCAGTAAAATAAAAACCTCCTGTTTTACAATGACAATTCTTTTCTAATGCTTTAATTAAAATAGTTAACTATAAATATGTGTGTTGTTGTATACACTGTATTCTAAAGGTTTTGTATCTAAATTTTACTATAAACTTAATGTCAGCTACCAGTAATCTCTCCGAAAAGGTAAACGAATCCTCCTGACAGCTACTCGTCACTACAAAGTTTGCATGGGTAATATCAGACATTAAAAACACAAATCTAAAAGAGACTACTTTACAGCGTTTTCGACACATAATTAAACACCCGATCAATTTTCTACCTGTGCTGTGCAGTAAGAGCTGTGGAGAAAGCGCTCACCCGTGGACTGGATCTTGAATTCAAAATAGCTCTTGTTTTGGTGGAGAGGGGCGTTGGCGAGACAGGCTCCAGTTCCACAGATCCGCCTCCCGCTTTTCACGATGACCACATCCGTCCCTGGGAAAAAAGGCCGAGCAAACTCTCATGCCCACACAGCTACAACACAAGGTACGTATTTCATGTTTTCAGAGAGATTTCAGCAGAAAACGAGACTGAGATGAAAGTCACATCATGGGTTCACTAGATTAAAATAAAATTAAAGCAAACACTGGGATCTGACAGCTGTATGCTAGCATCTAGCATCTGATCCAGAGTAGTTTGGGCTACTTAGCTGATTTGAGAGTGAAATTACATGTATGAAAACATTTTCTTAAAGACCAATAATGGCAGAGCTGTTTATTATTTCGTGTTCAGGTCGTTGTTTTGAGGATATAACGTTAGCACAGTCTGCTAGCGCCGCTTTTCGCTATTACATGTGTAAGTTTTGTGACCCTGAACATCAGTGGTAGTGGCTCTTACCCATGTGATGCGTGTCTAGCTGAACGGTGGGCATTTCTTTGAGGGGCGCATGACCCGGTCCACCGTCCCCGCAGCAGCCCAAACAACACGTAAACACTGCGGCCATTCTAGCGCCGAGATCACCGGAAGTGCACTTACACGCCTCAGACTGAAGAGCGCACACGCTTCCAGAATAGAGAGGAGCTCATGAAAAAATCATTGCTAGCTGATGCTGATTTTCTCCTGACGCACGCTAAATTCCTCCTCAAGGGGGCGCTAACAGGCTCAGAAAGGCCAGTCTTGCTGTCAAACTATTATATTGGGAAACTTTTTACACTCACAAATGTTTAAAACAAGTTGCTTAAGTAATTCTTAACTATTTAAAAAGCATTTATTTCTACAAAATTATTTTTGTACTCACAAATGACTAAAAATGATCTAACAACGAAAAAAAATCTTAAATCTGGGGTCCCCAATCTCTAGGGCTGGTGTCTCTGCTGGGTTTACCTCCAACTCTAAATGAACACAACTCCCTGGAATTTTCAACTCCAATAGCTTGATTAACATGTTCAGGTGTAGTGTTGGGGGAAGTTCCTTTTAAAAGTAATGCAATATTGAGTTAGTCCCAAATTAGTAACTAGTTGCTTTACTTAGTTACTTTTTAGGGTACACAATGTGTTGTTACTTTTAAGTTTCTGTTCCGTTTACTTTCAGAATTTGCAGGGTTTTTTCTCTGATTTCTTTCTTTTTTAAAATAGAGGAGCCCTGCAATTAACAACACACTGTCCCTGCTAAAAAATCCAGCCAACCAGCCTAGGCTGGTTTAAGAGGGGTTTTGGCCACTTCCAGGCTGGTTTCCAGCCATTTCCAGCCTGGTCTTAGCTGGTCAGGCTGGGAGATGACCAGCTAAAACCAGCTTGACCAGCCTAGCCAAGCTGGGAGTCCAGCCAAAACCAGCTATATCCAGCTTAAACCAGGCTGGTCAAGCTGGTTTTAGCTGGATTTGGCTGGTCATTTTCCACCCTTACCAGCTAAGACCAGGCTGGAAATGGCTGGAAACCAGCCTGGAAGTGGCCAAAACCCCTCTAAAACCAGTCTGGTCAACCAGCTAAAACCAGCCAACCAGCCTAGGCTGGTTTAAGCTGGATTTTTCAGCAGGGGTATTAATTTAATTTTCCTTTAAAAACACACACACATAAAAAAATGAAGGTAGGATGTTATCCTCTGAAAACTTCCTGACCCCAGAGACATGCCGTATACCACAGAATCATAAAAGTTTAAAGCAACATGTTTGCTACTTTTGCACTTTTTGTCTTATTAAAAAGTAAAATCACTGCCCATTCAGATAATCCCCTTTTCCTGTTCTTACATGTGTTCAAAATAATGAGAATTTTCCATCACAGATATGTAAGGCTCTGCCATTTTCATTTTGGACTGTTCCTGCATTCTCCCATAAAGTGTGTGATTCAACATGACTACGTTCATTTTAATTTAGCATTTAATTTTGTCAAAGCAAAATAAACTAAAAGGTAAGAAAAAAATGTCATCACCTCTCAATAAAAATAACAGTATCATTACTGCAGTCTTAAATGTCACGTGATCCTTCAGAAATCAACCTAATATGCTGCGGGTAAGATTATATGTTATTTGGATGATTGGAAAATGTCATATTCATTGCCGTGTGCTTTAAGTTCAAAACTAAGATTTCTTATTAACTGATCAGAAAAGTTTCAGTTAAAAGCATTGAGATCATATAACACTTCGTGTTGATGAATTCGAGGGATGAAACCGTATGCATTAAAATGCAGTTATATGAACTGGTGTGCCATAAAAACAAACATTCAGAAGCACTTATCCTATTTCTGTGACAGATCACTGGGACTCTCGCCCTCTCGTGGCCAATTACGTCATTGCATACGCTTTCATCCCTGATTCGACCAATGAGCGCGGCGCTTCAGAAGCCGTTCTCTTCCTGATGGCATGGAAACAGGGGAAGAAAAATCGAGGTCAAAATATTTTGACACGTGACTCGGTAGCGATTGGTTATCGATGCGTCAAGACCCTGACACATGGCACGGGCATATGCGACCAAAGTGGCGTGATGGAGGACCATCTTTATGGCAGAAAATACGGACGCGCTTTTTAGTGTCTGCCTGCAAAGCCATGACTAGATCGAAATGAAAAGCGCGTAGTTACTGCACTTGACTGAATGGATGAATTAGGCGTCTATGTGGGTACATGATGGGTAACGCCAGTATTGACGTAATCTGTGGAGAAACGCTGATCTAGGAGAGAGCGCGAGTGCTCCCCCGCAACAACCCCATCCAAGAATGAAGGGATCCTCTGCATTTATTGCTCACAGCACGAAACGTGTGTTCAGCTACCCGAGTCTCCAAATACACTGCGTTACGCGGATATTGCGCGCAATGTGGCAGTGAAACCTTTACATTCAGATGCACTGATCATTAGCTGTTCGTGCGCATTCATTTTAACTGCCTGACCATTCTGCCTTGACCTGAACTAGTTAAAATTTCCCAATTGGAAAGGGCGAATTCTGCACAGCAACAAGAGCCACGATTGCGTTGCACACTGCCTAAGCAGTTAGTGCGCTTCTGGTCCAATTGCTGATGCTTTCCTCCTGCAAAATCTGCCACAACCGTAGTAATACCTTGACAACCGAACCCAGGCTTACAGAGAAACATTTTTGACAACTCGACGACGGAGATATCAAATCAATAGCTTGAAGTTTGTTGGACAGGTCATCGGATATTCCTGCACGAAAGTTCTCACGCGGGCAATTAAGAATGAAGTACTGGTGCACTCAGGAGTCTTCATCTGCAGGCAATCTGAACTAGTTCATATTTGGTTAACCAGTCGTGCCTCACCACACAATCGCGTGAAATGCAGTGGAAATTGCGATGCACATCATATTGATAAAAATTGCTACATTTATACAGCCTATTTGGTTTAATTTCAGTGTAGCGTCGTAACGCGTTATCGCAATATAAAAGCTTTTTTCGAGGCAAAATAAAATAATTGTATGCTTATGATGTGCAAAACGACACAGGGCAGCGCTGAGTGCTCTCGACTTCTCACTCGGTGTGAGATGCACGAGAAGGAAGCTTGCCGAGATGATGAGAGTTGTATTGATGTGTCATGCCCCCGACAAGCTTTCATATCAATATCTTTTTCCACTTTAGGACAGGATGGAGCTTTTGGAGGAGGACCTCACGTGCCCAATCTGCTGCTGTCTGTTCGAGGACCCGCGCGTTCTGCCCTGCTCTCACAGCTTCTGCAAGAAGTGTCTGGAGGGTATCCTGGACGGTAACCGGAGCCCTACATGGAGACCACCGTTCAAATGTCCGACCTGTCGAAAGGAGACCGTCCACAACGGCATCGCGAGCCTGCAAGTCAATTATTCCCTACGCGGCATCGTGGAGAAGTACAACAGGATTCGAGTGATGCCGAGGATGTCTCAGTGCAGAGTTCACAATGGGCAGCCGCTCAACATCTTCTGCGCTACAGATCTGAAGCTCATCTGTGGCTTTTGCGCCACGACAGGTGATCATAAAGGACACAAGTTTTGCGCACTGGAGGAGGCGTACGAACGGGAGAAGCTCGCGTTTGAGGAGTTGTTTCGCGTCGTGGAGGGCTGGAAGGGCGCGGAAGTTCATTCGTGCCTGGAATCGTTAGAGAGTGCAAAGAAGAAAGCGCTGGAGAGGGTCTCGCGGGACGCGGATCGAGTCTCCGAATACTTTGACAAACTTCTGCGCACGCTGGAGCACAAACGGAGCGAAATCCTTTCGGATTTGGAAACTTTGAAGCTGGCAGTCATGCAGACCTTTGACCCCGAGATCAACCGGCTGCGCTCAGCGCTCGAGGAGCAGCGGCGCGCGCTCAACATCGCCGAATCTTTCCGTTCGCTCTCGGATCCGCTCACTTTCCTCCAGCAGATGCAGGACTTCAGAGAAAAGCTGCGCGTCATTCAAGGAACACCACTGCCGTCACGCACTGACATGGATGTGAGTTTGTCTGCCCTGCAGAGCTTTGATGTGAATGAATGGGACCGGGTTCGCCTTGGACAGGTAGACAAACTTTGCGCCCCCTACGAGAGCAGCGCGTACCTGTCATCTCTGCCCCCGGCTGCCGCTCCGCGGTTCACCCGTGTGATGTGGAGAGTTGTTCTGGTTGTGTGTGCGTGTCTACCCGCGCTAAACTTTCTTCCGTCGGACTGTCTCGCTCTGAGCTTCCAGGATAAAGTGGTTGCACTCGGCGGGTTTTCTTTGCCCAGTCCCGGAGAGATTGTGCGCTGGCTCGGGTTCTGCTGGAAAGAAGCGGCCTCGATTTGCACACTACTGACCGAGCTGTGTCGGAACTGTATGTTGGACCTGATAAACACAACATCAGATTTCATCAGCTGATTTTGTAACTCCATTCATTAGGTACTTTTTAAAAACAAATGTAGCTACTATAATGTGCCAACCTTGAATATCCTGTCGATTTTTGTAGCATTGGGAATTTTAGTTTCTATTTTTAAATGTGTAACAATACGTGGGCTATTAAATTGCACATTTTCTGTTGCCATTAATTACAAAAAGTAGATGGATGGTCTAATAATGGGGGAACATTCCCATAACTTAATAAAATATATTGTTACAAAACTAGATGATCTCCGCAATTTTCCCTACATCATTTTTAATTATTATATTTTTGATCATTGCAGTTAAGAAAATACGACTGTTAAGTAAAATTAACTTAAACAATTAAATTAACACGAACACTGGTTCATGTTGTGGATCATAACTTTTATCTACCTTTGAGCGAGTTATCAGGATACTCAAGGTTAAACGTTACGTAACACAATGTCAGACTCACAACAGGACAGTGAATTCAGTCCTTCAGAGTCACTTAATTCTCAATTAAATTTATACTAAGAACGAACTTTCATTCCGCTATAGGTTTGTTTCGTCGTACTATATTAATGTTCCGTACCTACTTTTGTGTCGGCACAAATAATTTCAAAACTCTAATATAGACTAGTGAAATGCTTCCAGAACATCATCAACTGAATTGATTCGTGAGAGCATTTTTTATATTTCATATTCTGAGTAATAAACAGAGCTCAAAATGTTTAGCACCTGATATCTACCCAAAGCCATGACTGTTAAAAGAGACTAAAAAAGGTGAAGGGATCCCCTTTTTTCCTCAGTGTTTAAACAGGAATCCTGAGAGATTCTCGGACGACTCTGTTCTACTATGACGTCACCGCCGGAGCCCTGCGCGCGTCATCGAACATATATTTAGCCGACTGTTGCCAGGCGAATTGAGGATGAAAAGTGAAATTACCTACGTTACCATAATTTACAAAAAAAACCTTACGTAACTTAAAATAAATTTAATAACAGTAAATTTATTAATAGGCTAAATAAATTTATTTCAAAAGCCTGCGGAATGCATTGCCGACAAATAGGAAGCTTACTCTGAAATGGCGCCATGTTATGTAATTCCAGTTCTTCGATTTTTATTATTTTAAACAAGTGTAACATTGCATCTTTCTATTAATGACACCACCTTGACCATCACGTATCTGCTTTGCACCTCTAATTTATTACACCACTAACAATGTTGGTCTAAGTGGAGAAAAGGCAGTCTTGCAGAACCCATGTGCATTATTTTTTTCATTTACCCGTCTATTGCCTTTGTATTATGTTTTTAATGTTGACCAACTGTTGTCAATAATTGCCTGTCAATAATGATCTTTTGATGAATCTGTGCACTTACATGTTTTCCTTTAAAAAAACTGTCATAAGGACTGAACGACTCTAATAAATTTTTACATCATATATGTAAATGCATAAGTTCTAGCATTATGTTTCATTATTTTCTGGTGTAGTGTCAAATGAAATATCTGGCATATGTCTACAAGGACATAGGGTACTTGAAGCCGTAGACATATTTAGTTTTCGAAGTAACAAAATAGTACATTTCATATTTTGCCATAAAGGCCAGCCACTAAGACAAAAACAAGTAATAGCCTATAAATCCGGCTCCGTTTAAAAAGTACTGAACACACCATGTACACGAATTAATGTTCGTGTATGTGGTGTGTATGAACAGTTTAGATTTTAACTATCAGCCGGATAACTTAACCGCTTCACACGGTGGACCATGAAAAGCAAGAAGACTTGCTTGTAAAATTACACCAAATTGGAAATGATCGACATTTAGGTTATATATTGCAGATGTTTAAAAAGTCCAACTTTTCCAAACTGTGTGGATATCAACGCAATTTAAATACAATAATAACAATAATAAAAGTAGTTTTTATTTAAATTTACCGTCAAATATAGCTACATTTTATAAGGCACTCGATATTGGTAATCGGGAATGGAGAATTAGGTCTTACGACGTGGTCTAGAGAATAACTAACAAAATAAAAACAGAAAGTGACGAACAGCATATGCATGCAAGGAAAAATTCGTGGCTGTAAAATATAAATGTTATTTATTTATTTAGACCAATCTAATTAATCCCGACTTAAACACACAGTGGAAAAAATACTTTCCTTTTCTCTTAGTACTATCAAACATAGGCTATGTTGATAATTTACAATTACGGCAGACAAAATTAAAATTGATTTAAAGCTAAAAATAAGTAAATACATTTTTTAAGTTATTTTTCTCGAGCGAAATAATAGAGTCGAATATTGTTTTCTTACGATTATGCCAAGAACATTTTGTAATCGTTTTCTAATAGCATAAAATAAGGGGGGAAATGATTCGCAAAAAATATATATATTTGTAATCCCGTCACTTATGATTAGGTTAAAAAAAGCCCAAAAATTAATAAATGAAATACAACCAATGTTCTCAGTTCTAAAAGGCTACCAAATAATGCATCTTAAAATATTTTTTCCATTAAATTATAAAAATGTGCATATTATGTCACATAGCCAAATAGATTAAAATCAGATCCATGAGGATGTGTGCTTTTTCTCCATCACAGCTTCACTGACCACCTCTAAAGTATCAAATAACGAAAATGAAGCGTCAGAAGATTAAACCGACATGTGTCCTGATATGAGTTGAAGGCAACAACGGTTTAAGTGCTGGCCAACTAAACAAAAATATAAAACGTAATTTCTTTATTGCCAAGGACACTTGATGTGATAAAAATCACAAACACCATTAAAGACCTAAAAGAAAATTGAATCAGCCTTCCCAAAGCACGCATTATTGCGACAACGTTTTTTTTTTTTTTACAAAACTCCTCAAAGTTATCCTAAATACTTTTGACCCCGGTAAATTAAATTAATCCTAAAATAAAACCCATTTTCTCCAAATATCCAAAAATTTCTCCAAATACAATAAAGCAAGAACAAATATTTTATGGTTACATATACGCCATGATTTAGTCTGCTTATAACCAGGGTCTTTCATAAAATGGCGGCGGTTATTTCTTTTTATTTTAGGTTTTGCATTGCGCAACTTATTTTTTAACAATGCGATATTAAATCAAACTGAAAATCATTAGGTCTACTTTATAAGCACAGTCACGCAATGTTACATAAGCAACATTTTGTACAATGACATGAGTTTCACGACTGCTGGGCAACGTGAGAAATAATCTTTCACATCAGAACTCGCTGGGTGATATGCGTTTGGCATAATGGTATAGGACACGCATGCGCCGATTGAGTACCTCTCCAACACGAAATCGGAGACATTTGTCTCCTAAATAAAATGACATTCATTGTAACCCCCTAAAATAATCTACATTCAAAAACTTGACCACTAGTTAATTATTATTGAGAGAAAAAAATTACACTTGGAAGTCAGTTTTATGGGCTCTGTGAAGTAGCTACTCACCATAAAAAGAATATATAAGTAAGCGCAAGTCGATAGGGAATTATCAACCAGAAAAAGAAAACATTTCTTTAAAACATATAAAAGCAGAAAATACAAAGACAAAATTGTATGTGACAAGTTATGTCCGGCAGAAATTTAAAACAATGTTAAAAAGCAAGCTATAGGTTAAACTGAGCAAAATAAGACAGGTCAGTTAGTTAGCTCATTTCAGTTTTTTTATTTGCATTAACAAAAACAAGCAACAGCACGTTTAGGAAAACCATTAAGCATTAATAATTCAGGTTAAACATCTCAGAAAACACACACACACACGCTTAATAATAATAATTACAAAAAAAATCACATCCCAAGCAAAACTATACTCCAACTCTCATTACCTTTGACCACTGAGTTTGTTGTCCTCCTGACTTCCCTATGTTGGATTAAGGAGTCCATTTAAGTAGCAGTGAATCAGTCTCTACCTGCACCGACTAGGCCCTGGTAGCTGTGATAAATATAAAAAAAGGATGACGTGCATGTGCTGCTTGGTGACTTCTTGCTTCAGCAGCACGAGCAATATTGGAGGCATTGGCCAAGGAGTAACTCCAATATTTACATGCTGCTAAAGCAAGACAACACATGCACACACACACAACCTCTCTCTCTTGTCGTTCTCTCAACTGCGTAGGTCCCAGGAATTGATGCTGCAGCACATCACGGCCTGCATCTCTGTATCACCACAAACCATTCTGTGCTGCTACACCATCACCTAGAGAGCCTCGGCTACATGACCGAGCACCGGCAGAACCACAGAGCCAGTGACTCCGTCCTCTCCTCCTTTCTCTCTCTCTTTCTCTCAGCAGGGCTTCAGGCATTCCAGGACTCTATCTGAAACACAGAGAGGAGGACGCTAGAGTGAGAACATGCACACAGCAGCTGGACGTGATGCTGTCAGTTCACAGAAAATTACTTTACAGGCTTCTGCTGACATTTACTGTGATAATGTCTATACAAATAAATATATATATATATATATATTTATTTATTTATTTATTAGGGATGCATGATATAGGAAAAAAATGTACATTGCAATATTTTGATTTACTGCAAATTATACTGTGATATTTCACCAGGTAAATCAACCTATAATTTTAGATCGATTGGGATGATTTTGAAGAGGAGTGCACATGCATTAACTATAATAAACAAATTACTAGCAGAGACACAAAAGAATGAGTTTAACAGTATACAGGTACGGAAGCTGTAAGTTCTTCACTTTGTAAATAATTAAATACAAATAAAGATACAAACGTAACAATTCCTTGTGCCCAATTGCTTTAAACATTCTTAAAATGTTTAATCAGGCCTTAAAAACACAAGCAATTGATAAATGTTCACTTTATTATGGTTAAACTCAAATCACTGTAAAAATTCTTATGTGTTCTGAGCTGTTGTACTTGCTCAACTAATCCTGACTCCACATTGCTCGTCCTGTGATGTGATTGTTGCATATTCACACATTGCAATATCGATGCTAAAACAATATATTGTACAGCCCTAATTTATGCATAAAAAAAAAAAAAAATATATATATATATATATATTTTTTTTTTTTTTTTCTCGAATTTATATACAAATACAGCAGTATGTAGGACCATATGTTAGATTTTTTAGCAAAGTATGGCTTTTCATATCTGTGACCCTGGATCACAAAACCAGTTTTATGATGCACAGGTCTATTTTGCCAATAGGTAAAAATACATAGAATGGGTCAAAATTGAAGATAAAAAAAAAAAAGCCAAACATCATTCAAATAGTAAACATTTTTTTTTAATGTAAATATATTCAAACTTAATTTTTGATTAATAATGTTAATAATGTAATAATTGATAAACAATTAATTAAAACCACTTTAAAATGTGATTCTTAATATTTTTGTTTCTTCGAACCCTCAGATTCCAGATATTTAAATAGTTGCATCCTAACAAACCATAAATCAATAAAAAGATTATTTATTCATCTTTCATCTGACGTAAAAATCTCAACTTCAATAAACTGACACTTATGGCTTGTTTTGTGGTCCAGAGTCACATTTTTGCATGCTGTTGTTCATTTAGAAATGTACTTAAGCAAGCATGCTTACAAAATGATAGTGTGTAAATCAGATATTTCATTAGAACATCTGATATTAATTATCTTAGCCAGCAATGTATTTCCTGATACGTCCAAAAAGGTGACATGCTAACAATTTAATAAGACTGAAGAGAGAATATTAAATAATGCATTGATATTACAGTATTATACGCTTAATTCACATAAAAAGTTACATTTTTATTATGCAACCATAATGTATACCATGAACATTTAACTGAGCTCGTTAAAAACTGCACATTCAGTATACAAATGAAGAGCAACAAATAAAAATGAACTTCTTTAATATTATGAATATAGAAAAAATATTGTATAAGAGAAGTGTCATTTAAGATGTCAGTTGTTGATTGATGCATTATTCCATATCAATGTATTATTACACCCTATTAGACACATGCTAATTGTAAACTGTTCACACATAAATGCACACTGAATTATGATACTTTACAAGTTTAAATGTCTGTTATGAGATGATTAAGAGTATTTAAAACATTCATGATTCCCAGTGGGTTCTGTGTTGCTGTTGTTCCAGCATATTTACATTTGGCGCACGGCACATGACTGATACAATAAAATAACACTAATAATACAATAAGAAATATTTACACTATTATAATTTTTCTAAACATTGCTTTTGGCTGTACATTACTTTTTCTATTCTGATTTTTTACAGGACCAGAATTTATGGACATCACGGCAAACACAGATTTCAACTTTCCTGCACTGCACGAAAAGCCGGTCCTTAAAAATAATGGTATTAAAAGGAAAGTTACTAGCAATATTGACATCTACACCAGACTGAAATAATCCTCCAATATGGTGATTCAGCACTGACAACATCCTGCCTCTTACTCATCTACATCACCAGGAACCAAATCAGCCGTCAGCTTCCCAAAGTACCGTATCCCCGACAGGAGACATCTCTTATCCATGTTATGCTTTCTTAGATCTTCCATACAGCTATAAAAAAATCTGATAAACTTTTAGTATTTGCTTCAAGTTCGAAAAGCTGACAGGAGACATCTGAATTGAAAATAAAAAGTACTCATCGTAAATACACATTAACCACAAATTATTTTTTATTTGACACCAGATTTCTAAACACAAATTTTGCTAAAAATAATCACTAAAAACTTCTGTAATAAAATTCTATTTTCATTATAAATAAGAGAATTGCAGTGCTAACTATTAGGTTAAATACTAAATTAAGTTAACTAGGTTAAAATGAAATTAAAATACGACTTGCATATTAGGTTTCTAGCATCTGTTTATCATGATAATTGAGGTGTAACATTGACACCAAGGTTACGACCTAACTAACATAACTGTGGAATTCAGGTCAATGATGCAACGTTGATTTACAGCCAAGGAAATCCATTCTGATTATGCCACATTAGTTATATACTGTTTAACTCACTCAAAAAAAGCCAGTTAATTTTTTTTCAACCAAGAAATTTATGTGACTTCAGAGATTGACAGGAAGACAACTAGACTTGTTCTCACACACTACAAACAATACTAAAGTAAAAACCAATGGCCTGAACCTGATATTGACATCAAACTTTAAACTACTTCTAAACCAGAGTTGCCATCTGTTCCCCCTCCCACATTTACTCACATCTGATGTGTGTGCTAGTTCAAGAATTACAGATAAAACCACTACAGAAATTACTATCAACTTACACTTTCACAGAAGCAAGTGCCAACCTAAACCGCTTGAGAAGAGTGAATTCAATACTATGAAAGTAATCTTTATTTATTTTTCTCTTTTCATTTGTATAGACTTTGTATGTGTAAACAGCTAGTATCTCAATCTAAAGTGGACATCTCATCGCTTGAAGGGGATTTTAAAGCTTTAATACCATGATGGTTTGCCAGATGTCAAATGCTGAAAGTGTCATTTACTGGGTACATATAGCACCTGAACTGCTTATCCACCATCTAAATGCGCTTTAGCTTCTCTTTTAAAATGATTAACAAATTTAAAAAATCAAAATATATAGAGATGTGATTACCTTGGATTGCTTTCTAGTTTCTGACATCCCAACCAAGCCATTCCTAAAAAAAACAAAGCAGCAAGATGTCAAAAAACACATTACACTCATAGCTGCAGGTTAAATAAGTTAATCTGATTTAATAGAACATCTAAACTTAAAAAACAGACAAATATAGAGTATAAAAACTAATTACTAAAAAATAAACCTGATACACTTTTAGTTTATGTGTGTGTTTTTTAGAAAAATAAATGTGACTGTGTGTCTTTTAACATCACTGCAGTGTGTGGTGTAAAATACTGGTTTTACGCGTTTATTTGTGTCAGTTACATCGAAAATACACCCATAAAAATACATTCGCGTTAAAGCTACAATGATCAGAATTATTACTAGCTTATAAAGACAAAATTATAAGAGTCTACATCCAATACCTCATTGTAAGCTTCTCTCAAAAGCTCCGAGACTTTTTATATACATAAAAATGAAATGATCCATGCAGAGATGCACGTGTAGCACAAAAACAGACTGATCGAGAATTTTTTTTGCCCCTCCTTTCACCAACTCCCCACGTCTTTCCCCCCCCCCTGTCTGTCTTGCACACACACATACACACACACAGCAAACCCTTTGCTAAGATTTTATAAATGAGTAACTTCTAAAAGAGCAGATGAATTTTTATAATGGAGGAAAAAATAATATTCACAAAAAAAGTTATCAGGAAACTATCAGTGCTGAAACAGAGACATGAAAAACAAACCAGAATGACAGTAATGGAGCAGGTTAAAACGAATAGCCTGTTTAGACAACTTAAACTACATACATTTAAATAAAAATATTTATAAAAGAAATGAATTCATTTTTTAAATTGTTGCCATATAAAGGACATTAACATTTTTCCACCCTATGGTGTGTGCAATTGGCCAAGCCTCCATTTTGATGTTTAATCTTGTGCACTAGCAACATCGTAATCCCACAAGATATGTGCACATTATGCGCACCATATAACACGATAATTTTGAATTGTGCCGTAATTATATAATTTGATTATACATAAAGCAGCACATCAGCTTTTTGATAACCTAGAAAGTGGTCATGTGCATGTGTGTGTGAGTGAGTGAGGGCCGGCAGAGTTCCTGAACGAGTGTGTGTGAGTGAGAGGAGGTGTGAATGAATGTATAACATTTAACCTCTCTCTGCTTGTATTTTACTGAGCTCACATGACCTCAGGGTCAAAGGGTATCACCTTCCACTCCTCCATCAACATCAGCATGTGACACACTCGCACCCTCCGACAGGCTCGGCCTAATGCAGGAAACCCTCCCATGTAATTATTCAGGCAGTTCAGTGATCAAAAGAAAATTTAGCAAGGTTTGTTTTGCAAGTGAAACTTAAAGAGAATTTAAATAGGATTCAAAAAACTTTGTAAGAATAAAATAAATCAATAAAAGCAAATACTTTTATTTTTTCTAAAAAGTGAAAATTAAAAACTATACTCTTTTTAAAATTTTTAAAGGTGTAGTGTAGCTACACTTTTGCCCTTATGATTATGAGAAGTGTGTTTGTCTCTGCCAAACACATTTTATGCCATAAAAAAAAACTTGTGTAAATATTTAGTCAAAGACAGAATGACAGCAGATGATCCTGCACACCTGTAAGGCAATGCTGCACCTGAGTACAGATACACAGTAATACACACCTGTGCCCCAACTGAAACCTCTCACTGTTAAACACACACACTGATCAAAGAATGCTCTGCAAAACAGCTGATGTGCAAAACAACTCACACATCCGAACCAAACTTAAAACATCAGTACTTTAAAGAGATTCTCTAAACAGCCCATCATTGCTGGTTTGAATAGGAAGAACACACACACACACACACACACGTCTCTATTATAATCATAAAAAAAGCAATGGTGGTGTCACAGATCCTTTTTGTGTGCAAGTGACAGCACAATTGATGCCGATTATTATAATGTCAACCCAGGTAGGACATTTGGGTTTACTTTTTTTATTTATTTAATTAATTAAATAAATAAATAAATAACAATACAAAGAGAATGAGTGTCATATCACTACTGTGAATACATTAAATTTGGCAAACTCTGAAAATCCTGGCATGGTGTATGACAAATTTAACACGTGCATCTCATAAAATTACCCAGACAATTAACTGATAAATAAGGCCCACATTAAAAGAGAGAGAGAGAGTGTGTGTGTGTGTGTGTATTACAGCCTCTGGTCAGAAGTGTAAGGCTTCATTTCCTGCAAGTTCACGTTTACCCTCTCTCACACTCGCATGCACAAAAAGCATGAATTAGTGCTTTTTTTAACTAGCTGCTTATTTCTGTACACTCCATAATTTAACATTTTTAGCGTGGTCACTTTTGCTTTTCAAATCTTACAATAGGGCTGGCAAACTTTACACTCAGCTCCTTCTAAACTTCAGCCATGGACACAGCAGATCTCTCACAATGCCTTTTATGCAGCATCATTATAATGTTTTCATTTCGATATGAAAATCATGTCGCCTGTATCATCATATATTGAGCATTAATTAATCAGTGATAACAATAAAAACCTTAATGTCTTTTCTCCAAGCCTGAAATTTTTTTGGATGATTCCAAAGTTCATAAGAAAAACCTAAGGGTGAAAACATGGTAGTTTCTTTTAAAGTATATAAAGAAAAATCTAACACAATAATCCAGTATAAATAAAAGATGCATATTAACATCAAGTATGAATGACACTCTGCTTAAAATAACCTGTAAATTAACATATGTTGATGGAAATATATAATAGTGTTATGACAATATTATTGAGTGCATTTATTTTCAATATGTGTGGGATTAAGTGACAAAATGTTGCAAATAGGGACCTGCTTTATAATACAAAGTGGCACTGTAATATTACTTCGTAATTTAGGTCAAGTTTCTACAATAGTTATGAGTAAAACTTATGTAGACAGGTCATAACAAAAAAAAAAAAAAAAAAAAAAAGTTTCAGCACAGTCTGTGAAACTGTGTGGGGCATTCGAGTGTGTGCATGACATGTCTGTTGATTAAACTGCAATGTTGCGAACATGATAAAGAGATCGTTGTGGTTTACTTGTGGGGGTTTCCCTACGGTCCCAAGCAGGATCAACTCATGGGAAAAAAAACAGCCAGGAAAAATAAATAAATAATAGAAAATACACAACACATTTACAGAAAAGAAACTCTCACAAATGTGTTGAGCTGATCTATACTGAGTTGACTGAATTAAAAAAATAATATATATTTAACTGACTAAAATGGGATTTTTGACTCTCACACAGACCACTGCATTACAATTCCAGCAATGTACAATTCTGATCAGCAATAAAATAATAGTGGATGCGCTTCAAATGTAATTTCTCTATGTTATTTAGACAGACATTTTATATGTAATCATTCTAGAGTTAACTTGGAATTCTGTCATGAGGTTATCATAAGACTCACACTGGTATATGGTGTAACTTGTACTATTTTTTTGTGAATGACCATTAAACAACACACTCCAAAATAACTCAAACTATGTAATTTAGGCAAAAACCAGACAGCAATTAGGCCTGTGGGACACAGAAGTAAAAGGTTAATCTTATTTTTAACATTCTATATTAGGCTACTTGTACACACAAGCATACAAAGCGCCATTTAAATATGCAAAATAAAATCTTAACATTAAAATATCAATATAAAAATGTTCTTACTATAAAATAAAACCTGCACGAATCTAAGATTATGCAAATAACTTCTATTAAAACTGGATTATTTGAACTCAATTGCCCTATTTGGGCTCAAACTGACCCTGGGTCTCAGTTAGGTTAACCTTCCATGACATCACATGACATGGACAGGCCTTTACATCAATCAGCACAATTAGGAGGTCAAAGCATCATGGTAATGACTTCATGACCTTTCTGCATGTGACCTCTGCATTAGGCAGCACAAAAAAAAAAAAAAAA